ATGTATATATATATGTATATATCTATCGCCAACTTTCTCACTCAGGAAACGCAAACTGCAATGGTGTGGACGCATCACCCGTTCATCCGGCCTTGCCAAAATGATCCTGCAAGGCAGCGTGCAGGGAAAAAGATACACCGAAGAAGAGTTGGAATGACACGGTCAAGGAATGGACAGGCCTGGAACTCAAAAAAACTGAAGACCGGATGGAGTGGAGGAAGCTGGTGACCAAATCTTCAAACGCGAATCGACGGACATCCAGTCTACGGGATCAGTGAAGGTGAAAGTGAATAATATATATAATAAATAACGAATTGAGCCTTTGGTACAATTTATACATGGGCCTACCGCTGCAGTGCAGTCTTGTTGTGAGTGGAGGTAGGCAAAGCCAGCTGGGCAGTTGACCTCGTAAGCCTCAGTGCTGGAAACACAGTACACGTACTTGGTGATGGTGTCAGGGTGGGGGAAGTAACCCATGGAGCTACCTTGGCATACCTGTATGGCTTTGTCGTTGTCTGAAAGTACAGTGGGTGAGCGGGGATGATGAGGCTTTAGTTTTAGTTTAGTTTTAATAAAAGTTTTACGGCACTTGCAACACAATAATATCATATAAGTGCCTTACCTCCTCTCATGGATACATCGTAAGCGGGTATAAAGAAATGCAAGTTGAGGTAAGATATTATAATAAAATGTGAAAAAATGAGGAAAAATTAGGGTTTATAAGAATACGTGGTTATAAAAAAAATAATGTGAAACAATATGGCGTGAGGGTGGGTAATCTTGTTTTGTTGGTGATGAACACTTCCAATCTTTTCTTTTCTTAATTACTACATTTTATAGCGTCCATAATGAGAACCAATGACCCAGAAAATAGATTTTTTTTAACAAGCAAGGATAAACTTACCATCGACCTTCACATAATCCCCACTTCTCACGTAGTCGAGATCAGAGCATTTCTGCTGCTGGTAGTTTTTGATGCACAGGTTTGAAGCGGCTGAAGAAAAAAGATGTCTTTTCATAACTGGGCATTACACTGTCTCACACAGGGTGGAGGAGGAAGACAACCACACCATTAACAGCAATGATATACGCAACATCCCCACCACAAACAAAAACAACAACAACAACAACAAC